TTAAAAATATATAATTCCTAATTAAGTAAAAGATCCTCTTCCTTAATAACGTCCCTTAGTTTAGCCCTTAATAGGTATATCGCTAGCTTACTAGTTATTAGTCGAATCGGTAGTATTTCCTTAATAATTCGGCCTAGCTTATCGGCCTCTTTAATTCCTTCCCTTATATATACCGCCTTAAGGTATAGTACTACTTCTATTCCTAGTTCCTTTAAGGGTAAAAGTAGTATTAGTACGTTGCCTCTTATTAGTAGTAGTATCCTAATATTATTAGGCGACTTATATAAGCTCTTCCTATTAATAGGTATAAATAGGTATTAAATAAAGGTTAATTTAGTCTTAAAGTTATAGCTCTAGCTTAGTAAAAAATATAAGAGCACGCGCCTTTTCTAATAAGCGTTTAAAATACCTCTTTAAGGAGTTAAGGTATAAGCTAAACTTTAAAAGGGACTAGCCTTCTTATTAGCGAGCCTCCTTTAATTATATCGCTAATAGTATCTCTTTATTTATAGTATCCTTAATTAAGATAAGTATCTATTCCTTAAAGTATACCTAATCTATACTATATTTAATTCGGTTAATCGGCGTCTATTCTTTAAGGTATCGGCGCTATCTTACTTTATAGTCGCTATATATATAATCTACTATATAGAGGATCTTTATTTCGTTGCAACGAAAGCGTCTAGGCGCTACCTTAAAGGCGTCCTCTAGATTATAAGTTTAGTCTAGACGTTTCTATATATTAGTAGGTTAAGATAATTAAGCGATAAGTTTAATCTTAACCTCGCTACCGCGACTACCGTCCGATTTAGGGGAGTAAGACCGTCGACGCTTTCTTAAACGGATAGCGATAGCGCCGGCACGTTTAGTAATTTCCTCTTTTAATTATATAACGCAGTCTTATAAGCGTTTCGTCTCCTCTAGCTCCTTAATACGCGCTTATAGGGCTATAAGCTTTTCTTTATAAGTCGACGGTCTTACGCCTATAGATAGCGATATCTTCGATATAGTTAGAATATCGTCTATAATAAGGGTCTATTCTAAGGATATATCTTCCGGTTCTTTATCTCCTAAGTAGATACCCGATATACGTAACGAAGAGGCCTTAACTAGTTAACTACTACGTCGCGCTATAGGAGCATTACGTAGTCTTCTCTAAGTAGCTATCTCTATTAGGTAACTAAAAAGGGAAGCTTTAGAAATTATAAGGGAATACGTATTATAGTACGATTAGTTAGGTAGTAGAGATAGCTAGAGGTACTACGCTATATATATTATATTCTTCTTATTATAAGACTAAAGCTTATAGGAAGAGGGATTTTTCCTCTTTAGTCGAAGTAGCGAGAGGTCTATAATATATAAGCGGGGTAGGCACGATTCCCTACTAATACCCTACCGATATATTAGTACCGAGTACTTTATTAGCCTATACCTCCTAGTAGCGCTCTTATAGTTAACGAGTAGTATAGAGAGATAGAATACCCGTTCCGTAAGGTTAAGCCGCGAATAATCTTAGAAAGCGAGCGGATCTATTAACTTCTTATTATCGACGGCTTTATAGGCTATATAAGCCTCGATCTTATATAATATTATATTAAATTCGATATTCTTATAGTTATATTCCCTCTATACTTAACGTATATCCTCTAGCCCCTTAATATTAGCGTCTTCTAGCCCCTTAAGCACGCTTAGTAAAAAGCTCTTCGCTGCTTTATTAACTCTAGCAAGCTTAACTTTATACGGCTAGACTTCCTTAAGTCGTTCTAGGAGACTTTTACTAAGGGCTTTACTACGAGGCATATTCTCTTAGGCTTCTAGAAAACAAGCGTTTTCCCTCCTATATCCGAACCTACCGTTAAACGGATACTCGAATAGCAGCTAAAGCTTTATTAAGCCGTTAACCCTACCTTCGCCTCTCTACTACCGGAAGAAACTCGATTCGAATAAGCGGTTAACTCTATACAGCACCTCTAGCAGCGGTATTCCGACCTTCTTAGCTCCCCTATACGCTAGAGGCTCTCTAACGTTTCCTCGGTCGTTATAGAGGCATCTCTTCTAGCCTTAAACCTCTAAAAACACTATAATAACCGCCTATATAGGATCGAGAAGATAAGCGCTCGTCCTAAGAGGGGGAAGACCGTTAAGAGCTAGGCAGGCACATTCTATACTAGTATTAGCCTCGACGAGGTCCGTAAGTTAGCTCAACGCATATAGGAAGCAGAGGGAGCGAAATCCTAACGCTAAGAGCTTATAATGCTTCGTGCAATAATCCGTAAAGAGAAGGCATAGCTGCTTGCTAAATATCGCTAGAATAAGGTCTAAGTTATCGACGGGAAGCTAAAGAGGCTCACGATTAAATAATAGCTCGACTATAAGGGGAAGAACGAGGAATTCCTTAGCCTTAAGAGCAGCGAAGAGACTTATAAGCGACTCCTCAAGCGGCCTAACCCTTTTATAATCGATATAACGAGAACACCCCTACCTACACGCTCAGCTGCGGAATAAGAAGCCGCCGACGAGGCGTGTGCAACAGCGAGGCCACTACGGAACATGCGCTGGCCTCACCTCCAGCCAGAGCGCGTTGTTAAGATCATTACCTCTACGGAAGAGGCAATAGCAGTGGAAGAAGCGATCGATCCTATCCTCGAGGCAGCATATAATAGTGACGTTGAGCGGACGTTGCTGTCATCGTCGCTACAAGGGCCCACGCCGCCATCATCGCCGCCGACGACCCCAACGCAAAAGATTACCGCTTGGAAGCGCATCGCAGCGATTATTAGAGACTGCAGAGCTTTTTAAGCGTTAAATTCGGATCAAGAAGACACCTAAAACGTATAGCAGCGGCATCTACGAGGGATGCTAAAATCACCGTCGTACCGACCGGTATGTTCAACACACCCATGCAGCGGCTTCAACGCCACGCAATAACGCACAACGTACCTTATTTATTATCTTTAATTGCTTATATTAATCGTTATAATTACATCTACACGCTATATGTCGTAGAAATGCATTTAGACGTCTATAGAATGAATTATGCGTATTTGCCCGCTTAGCCACACTAAAAAAGGTGTCCACACCTTTTAGGGCTGTCCACACATTTTATGCCCAACTAAGGGGTAGGGGCCCCTAGTTGGCTTACGAAGGAACCTGCCAACGGGTAAGTGGCGAAGACACTTAGTTGGGCTGCTGTGGGCCCCACACCTTGACCAACGGGTAATCATCCTAGGCAGGCTTGATATGCGACAGGCTCTCCACCGAGAGACAGGGATGCCGCCTGCCACGCTGTTGATCACAAACACTTCGAGGCGCGCCGCGGTTCGCCTACGCTCTAGATGCATGGCACCGCCTGACGCCTTGCTTGAGTATCCTCCCAACACCCACCTGGCCGGCAGCTGATGCAGAAGTATGGCATGCGTCCCCCTTGCGCGGCCCGGAAGCGGCACGCCTCGAAGATTGCTCCGCCTCCATAAGATGACAGCACAAGCCCCGAGGCCCCGACTTCAAGCCCCCCGGCAGCCCGACCCGACAGGGGGCGTAAACAAGACCCAGGCGGCAAGGGGCTTCCACGAATGGCTCCGAGTTTGCTCCGACGATACACATAGCTGCTAACAGGGCGTAAGCACCACGCTTAGCGCAAGCTAAGGGCGGCGATGGCACCCGTGGTAGAAGCGCGACTTGACCGGGCCTTTCCCACTCTGCATTTCCCCCTCTGCATTTTTTCCCACTCCATGTTTTCAAACGGCGTGTCTCCCAACTGCGACCGGTTTCTACGCCCTTTCCCATAACTGCAACTTTCTAAACTGCGTCTTTCCCCACTACACTTTCTCGACTGCACCGTTCCTACCCGCAACTTTCCTAATTGCACCTTTGCCTTGCCTTGCCTTGAGGAACGAGGAACGAGTGACGAAAGGATTTTCTTGCCCTGCGAGCCATAACCCCCTTTTCTCCTCGGCTTTTGAGGAACGAAAGGCTCTGCCTTTTATGGAGGAACGTTAGTGACGAAAAGGTTCTTCTGGTTCCTCCCCGGGGAGAAAGGAAAAAAAAAAACGCCGCCATCGATTTTCCCCCGCTAAATGCCTTGAGGAACGAGGAACGAGTAACGAAAGGATTTTCTTGCCCTGCGAGCTATAACCCCCCCCCCCCCCCCCTTTTGCCTTGAGGAACGAAAGGCTCTTCTAGACGCGAAAAAAAACCTAAAAACTTTAAAACTTATTCACCCTCGAAAACCTCGGCTTCTAATTAGCCTAAGATTTCCTTCTTTCGTCTTAGCCCCTCCTTGCAAGCTTCCTTCTTTGCCTTGAGGAACGTTAGTGACGAAAAGGTTCTTCTGGTGCCTTGAGGAACGTTAGTGCCTTAAGGAACGTTAGTGACGAAAAGGTTCTTCTGGTTCCTCCCCGGGGAGAAAGGGAAAAAAAAAACCCCCGCTATCGATTTTCCCCCGCTAAATGCCGCCCTCTAATTCGTCGTCTGCTAACCTCTGATTCGTCGGTTGCCGGGGCCTCTTCTCTGATTCGTCGCCTGCCGCCCTCTAATTCGTCGGTTGCCGCCCTCTGATTCGTCGGTTGCCGGTGTCTTTCCTCTAATTCGTTAGCTGCCGCTATCTGATTCGTCGGCTTGCTCTCCTCTTATTGGTCTGAAAATACATCGCACTCATCCTCGTCGCCCCCTTCGCCCGTCCTCCTGGCCCTTGACCTATACTCCTTTTACGTCGGTAGCTACCGCTAGCCTAGAGTCGGCCGGCTGTCTCTTTTCCTCTTGGCTGTACTGTATATGTGTGCGAAAATGTAAATCTCCGCCTTTTTGCGGTCCGTCTATATTAGGTACGCACCCGTCTATGTCCGTTAACTACTCTTCGGATTTTTGATCTTATTTCTATCTACCTACGTTGCGCCTTCCCATTCCTCTAATAATATCTTCGGGCCCTGATTATATGCCAGGATAGTCGTCCTAAGGGCAGGATCTCCTCCGCTGCGAGCGAGACGCCTACGCCGCCCGCGTTACCCGCTGAGCCAGTCGGCCGCCTCCCGCGTCGTCTGCCTGCTAAGCTCCTCTAGCCGGGCCTGCGCTGCCGTCATCTCCTCGGGCACCCGGTTCCCCACTGGGTCCCGCTCCCGCACCTCCGATACGAGCATGATGCCGTCGAGCGTCGGGCACCGCGACAGCTGCACGTACAGGCTGTACGGGTCGCACGGCCACGGCATCGCCCGCGACCGTCGTCGTCCTCGCCCCCCGCAGCTCCAGCGCCACGTGCGACCCCCGTAGCCGGCAGAGCTGCTTGTTGGCCGTGTGCAGTGTCTGCGCCCCGAGAATGCTGACCTTGTCGATCACCAGCACCTCCTTCTCCTGCCAGTCCCTCCGCGACCGGCCGTCAACGAGGCCCTCGCCCTAGCCGGCAGCCGTACGCCGTCTACGTCCCTCGTCACCCCTCCCGCCTGGCCGCCCTGGCCGACCGTGAGGCCGCAGGCCGAGTGTAGCGTGATGCCGTTGATCCGTGCTGTCGCCGTCCCCGACGTGGCTCGATAGGTCCCTCCAGGCGAGCAGCTCGACGAGCGCCTCGATGACGCGCGACTTGCCGGTGCCGCCGTCGCCGCCGATAAATAGGCAGAGCTGGCCGCGGCCGCCGCCTACGTCGTCGCCCTGCCGGATTCGGTCGAGCTGCCGGCATACCATTAGGAGGGCGATGGCCTGCTTCTTGTTGAGCGTTAGCTACCCCGCTGGCTCCCTGTCGGCGGCAACGAACGAGCTCGACGGGCCGAGCCGTATGCGCATTCCCGCCGCCGTGCCTGCGTCTACGTCGCCGTTAGCTACCGTTACGTCGATATCGTCCTCGCCGAAGCCGACGGCCAGCCCGGCTTCCCCTCTCGACTCTATCGTCGCGAGCACCTCCGAACTTCCCCCTCTTTCCTCCTCTCTCCTGGCAGGCTTGCCGCCACACCTCTGGACTACGTTTAGCGGCGACAGGGGGCCTATGGTTGCGCCTCGGCGAAAGGCGTCTTTATTGCGGAAGGCGATTCCGCTTCGAGCCCATCCGACCCGGCGCAGCCTAGCCGCGCCTATCGGTTATTGCTCTATACGGATGATACGGTTTTCTACTATAAAATCTTATATGCCGTTCCTTAATTCTCTAGGCTATAAGGACGAGGGTCGCGGCGATGCTACTACTGTTAGACTCTCTGTTTAGATGGGTAGATAGGTGGTCTTATATGCCCGTCGTTAACCTCGGCTAGGGTTCTGCTCCCTTAAGTCGGCGGTTCTATAAAGGCCGTTACGGCGTATAAGGCTGGCCGTAAGCCCGCCTCTGCGGCGTTGCTTGCTTCCCCTTACTAGCTCCCTAGCTTGCCTTTAGCTTGCATCCCTTCTTATGCACCTTCTATTCCTCCTTTAGTGTTGCCTGCTATAGTACGCGACCGTAAGGCATCGGCTGCGCCTCCTCGCCCCCGCTATCTCTCTATAAACCCGGCAAACCTTCCCCTCTATGCTCTGCCGATCCTACCCTTATATTTACGTCGCGCCCTTATTTCCGCCCGCCTGCCCCGCCTCTGCTATCGTGTCCTATATTTCCTGCCTCGTCCTAATTTCGCATCCTTCTTTGCCGTAGAACGACGATACGACTACGAGCATAAACGGCCTCTCTACGTATAGGTACGATATCGGGCTCTATAGAATCTCCTTTACGAGTCCGCCGTAGCTCTCGCACCGCACCCTTGCTGCCTTCCGACACGCTGCCTCGTGCTCCCGTAGGATCGGCCTTATCTACTATAGGAATAGTGCACTAGCTTCGTAGTTCGGCCTCGCCTAGCCTACTTACGTTACGAGCATCTTTAGGATACTATGCTTATACTTAAGCTCCGTAGCCCTAAGTTCGCACTAGAACTCTACGGAAACGTTATAAGTAGCTATACTATAGTTATTTTCCTAACTACTCGATCGGTAGCTAGGGTAGACGCTTCTACTCTCCTATTCGTGCCTTAGTGCCTCTCTTATACTCCCTTCCTCTCTCTTACCCCGTAACCGTTATTATCGCTATATTTACCTTCTTGCTTTTTCTCCCTCTTCCCGCTACGGGATAGTGCCCGAATAGCCGATTTATTTGCCTACCTTCTTACATGTATTAGTTCCTAGCGCTACCGCCTGCTTGCGTTCTTTGCTCTCGCCCTCTGTCTTCGTCTTATTTGTCTTAATCCTTAGTCTTCGTTCCTTAAGGCTTTTTGCGTAACCTATAAGGGGTTGCCTTACCTATTAGTCGAAACTTTTGCAAGACACTGCAGTTCTAGCCGGTCACCCTCTCACGCCCGATAGGCTACTTTTCCTATAGCTTATAGTAGTGTAAGGCTAAAACCATGGCTGCTCACATTCCCCGCGTCTTTGCTCGAGATACAGCGAGAGCCGCCCGCACTAAATGCATATAAGAAATGTATACTATATTGCAAGGCCGGGCGGCCGATTTGCCGGTGGGGGTATATAGATAGGGCCTTTCGAAATATTCTTTTATATAGAGTTATCGATTAGGATAAAAGCGGAATATAAACCGCGATTAATAGATAGCTTATATAGTTATATAGTACGTATAGGTATATATTATATACTATATAATAGAGATAGGGGCGTTTAAAAGAGGTTGTTATTAGATGTATAGCTAGTATCTGCCGCCCTTAATAGCGGAAACACTATAGCCGAATGATTTACCACGAGGTATGTATCTTTGCCTCTTTATAGAATATAAAATTATAAATGGAATTTTATATTGCTCTAAGATTCGTCTAGAACGTCCTTTATATCCTTTTTTTTTATTAAATATAAGTATCAAGCGACCAAACCGGATATTAAGAGCAGGGAGCACCTGAACGTTGGCCATCGAGTTGTCTGTGAACCATTCGTTCTCCGTTGAATCCAGTATCGATCAGTGAAGTCATCATGAAGCACTTTACGTCCTTAATGCTCACCGCGATCGCGATGGCCGTTGCTGGTCAAGCATTTAAGCAGGAGCAAAGCCACGAACCGGACTCTTATGGTTCTTCGCAAGACTTGCCACCTCAACAAAGCGACGTGGTTGAGGTAAGCATCCTTTATATTAATAACTTTTCCTCTTCTTAGAAATACATATTGACTTCTAATAGTTTCCTCACCACGAACCGAACTCTTATGGTTCTTCGCAAAACTTGCCACCTCAACAAAGCGACATGGTTGAGGTAAGCATCCTTTATATTGATAAATTTTCCTCTTCTTAGAAATACATATTGACTTCTGATAGTTTCCTCACCATCATAAAGAGAAACATCATGGCAAGCATCACATGGGTGAGCACCACAAGTGTAAACACGACCAGGATGAAGACGACGAGGACGAGCATCACAGAGATAAGCACCACAAGGGTGAGCACGACGAGGATGAAGACGACGAGGATGAGCATCACCAGGATAAGCACCACAAGGGCGAGCACCACAAGTGTAAACACGACGAGGATGAAGACGACGAGGACGAGCATCACAGGGATAAGCACCACAAGGGTGAGCACGACGAGGATAAAGACGACGAGGATGAAGACGACGAGGATGAGCATCACCGGGATAAGCACCACAAGGGCGAGCACCACAAGGATGAACATGACAAGGATGAACACCACAAGTGTGAGCATCACAAGCATGAGCATCACAAAGACAAAGCGTGCAAATCAAAGGGCGACACTTGCGCCCCTCATTCCAAAGGACACCATGGAAATTCGCGATGCTGCTCAGGACTCGTTTGTATTGACAAACTCGGGGATGAGAATTTTGGACTAGTGAGTAATGAAGGCTCTATCAAATATTAACGTTTCTAATTAACTTACTTGATAGTGTGTGGAACCCCGCAAGGATGAGAAAGATTGCAAAGCAAAGGGCGACACTTGCACCCCAAATTCTAAAGGACGCCATGGAAACTCTCGATGCTGCTCAGGACTTGTTTGTTTCGATAAACCCGGACATGCCGATTTTGGACGAGTAAGTAGTAAAGGGCTTGATCAAATCCTAACGCTGCTAATTATCTTGACAGTGTGTGAAACACGGACTCAATGCTCCAGAGACGAATCTAAAACCGGAATCTTGTCCGAAACCGTGCGGAAATTGTAACGAAGTTTGCAACGACAGGGGGCGAAAATGCTGCTCAGGATTCGTTTGCAGCTCGGGAAAAGTAAGTAGAGGCCCAGCTAAATATTAAATCTCTTAGGGAGGTCGAAAGAATTATACTAACTCGCTTATAGTGTTTAAGTGATCTTGGGGTCCGTTGCGCTGCGCCTAGTTCAGGGTTGAAGTGGAAATTTTATCGACTTCTGCACGGATGTGGACCTGGGAGAATTCCCTGGAATCAGCATTATTGGACTGTCCCGTTCGCTAAGATATTCAACTTAACCACAGCACTGGAGAGACTGCCTCCTCCGTTTGTTACCGGAGTTAATGGGTTTGTGGGATGGCCGGGCGTCTATGGCGCAGGCGAGACCCAGATCTATGGTCAGGGGATAGGTCGTTACGAACCACTGGCTTACGGGGTCCTAAATCCGCCTTATGGCACAAGCGAATTTTTTCTTATTGAGTGGTCTGGATATTTTGTTCCAAAGCAATCCGGCCAATACATATTTGAGATGAACTTCGCAGACGACCTGGCCTATTTGTGGCTCGGGAGTAAGGCCAGCTGCGGGTTCAACCCAAATAATGCGGATGTCTCAGCCGACTACTGGGGTTTACCAAAGGATGGGGAGCATGGACCGGGGTGGCCTTGGCCGTTCAAATTTCAAGCCACGGCTAACCAGGCAATTCCAATCAGGATAATCCTTGCTCAATCCTGGGGCGAGTTCGCACTGAGACTCTCGGTCAAAGATCCGCAGGGCAGGGTTATCATGTTTCATGACTCGCCGAGTTCAGACGGGCAGTTTGTTTCTTGCTAAAAGCCTGCATTACTCGTTTAGGTAGACAGTTTATGTGTAAGGAGCACGAGCACAACGAAACAGAGAGTGAAGAACGGGGGCCAGTGATGCAATTGTTGATCTCTGAAGAGCCTATTCAACGCTTGAGAGGTGGAATCCTTTTAACATAATAGCATCCTCCCGTTTCTGCTTCAGCTGGCACGTGACATTATATGAAAGGCCTCTAGTGAGTTGATACAACTAACTAGTCCCTATGCTATTTATTATCAAGATACAGAAGAAAGGAAGAAAGAAAGAGAATCTGCTATATAAGAGCATAACGGAATTTTATAGCTTCGAGCCAATGGAAGGTTCTAGAAGCTAGGCGGCGCAGCCGCCGTTAAAGCGGCTTGTCCGTTACATTACCCCCCTCCCTTCCGACGTTTCCTCTTCCGTGTCTCGTAACTTGAACGCCTGAGGGCCAACGCACACCCTAAAATCGTTTTTGACACTTCGATCGGAATCTACGCCCTCGATTCGCCCTCGACGTGATGGCGCGCCGCGCTCAGAGCGTCGGAGGGGTGGACGAGGTGCCGATGTGTATTAGTGTGTAGAAGAGGTGTTAAAGTTTATGATTCCCGTCTATCTACCAGCGGACATGCTGTCTTATATAGACAATTGTAGCTGAACGGAAGAACCTTTCGGGACCAGATTTAGGCTACCGTATAGCCCTAAGACTAGGGAATTCCGTGATACCTCGAGTAAGTCTAGAAGTGTCTTGGTTCCACTAATATTTGTGTTTAAAGGAGGTTGGTCGTGCCGGTGTTCTTAAGAGGTCTTAGCTAGCATTCTAAGCTAGCTCTGTTCCTTCGATTCCCGATTATACGATAACCGGCAACCCGTTTAATGCATAATGATATGCAAAATGACGAGCGATTCTTACTTTATAGGATGAGATTTTGTCTATAATTAATATACTACTTATTGGCTTATATAATTAGGAGAGTATATTATAGCTGCTTTATTTATAGTAGGAACACCGTTCCTTATAGCCTCCCTTAAAGAGTAGATTTATATACTCTTTACTAATTAATTTATAGTAGTATATATATAGGGTAGAAACCTAATTTAGGAAAACTATTCTTATACCTTAATAGGATATATAAAAACCTATTCTTTCTTAGGAAAAAAAAAATCCTTAGGTATATACTAATAGAAAAACCTATAGTAGGAAAAATCTATAGTTATAATAATTATTTATAAGATAACCTTATATAAGGTAAAACCTATTATTGCTAGGAAAATCTTAATAGATAAAAACCTAGTAAATATTTCTCTAGGAAACCTAAAAGGAAAAACCTAGTAGGGGAAGATATAGAAAGTATAAGAAATATCTAAAACCCTTTTAATTGCTTAGGAACTTATATTAAGGATAGACCGTCTCTAAATTTATAGAGTAATCTAGGTCTTAATTCCTTCGTAAAAATATCAGCTATATTATCTTCTAATTTAATATAAAAAACTCTAATTTCCCCTTCTCTTATACTAGTTCTAGTATAGTAATAGGCTAATCTTATATGCTTAGACCTTTTATAAAATTCCGGATTTTCTACTAATTTAATAGTAGTAGTATTATCCGTTAAAATAGGAGGTATAGTATTAGGAATCTTAATAGATAGATCCTTAGTAATATTTTTAAAAAGCATATTTAAATAAACAGCTTCTTTATTTACCTCCCTAAGGCTAATATACTCTACTTCGTAGGTAGAAAGGGCAACGGCTTTCTACTTAGAGCAAGCCTAGCTTATTATATTATTATATATATAAAAACAGTAACCGGAAAAGGATTTTCCGTCCGTTAAATCCGACGCCTAGCTAGAGTCGGTAAAACCCTTATATATAGATAGGTAAAGGGATATTGCAATTATATTTAATCTTTAGGCTAGGAATTTATTTAAATATTTCTAAATTATATTTAAAGCCTTAAAATACGTCTAGTCGGGCTTAGCCGCGAATCTAGCGCAGGAAATTACAGAATATAAGATATCTAGCCTAGTAAATAAGGCTAAGTATAATAGAGATCCTATTTCTTTCTAAAATTATAATATATCTTCCTTAGAAGGTAATTCCTTTGCTTTTATAAGCTTAAAGCCTACTATAGCGGGTAAATTTAAAGTTCCTAAACCTTCTTTATTAAATTCCTTTAATTTATTTAAGGTATAATTTTCTTAGGATATATATAGCTCTTTATATTCTCGGTTTATTATAATATTTAGACCTAAGAAGTCTTTTATATCTCCTAAGATAGTAAAATCTAGGAATTTAGATAATTCTTTAAATAATCTTTCTTCTATTATAGATTTAGAGGGCCCTACTATAAGAAAGTCGTCGACGTGAATTGCTAAGGCTATACTATAGTCCTTATTTATAAATACTCCTTTGTTTATTAAAAGAGGAAGAAATCCGAGATTATTTAGTATAATTTTTAAATAATTATACTAGAGCTTAGGACTTTATTTTAGGCTATATAATGCTTTCTTTAGCTTTGCTTTAATTTAACCGGTTTTATATAGGTCTAGGAACTTAGTTAATTTAATTCCTTTAGCTCTATAAGCTAATCTATATTTTAAATAATATTCTTTAAGAGCGTATTCTTCGTAGCCTATAGGAAGATCGATATATACTTCGCTATCTATATCGGTATATACGAATGCATTTATTATATCTATTTATAAAGCTTCGAATTCGTAGATAATAGCTAAAATAAGTAGAATTCTAATAGATTCGGGTCTAGCTATAGTCGAGAAGGTATCTAGGAAATCTAAGCTATAGATCTACTTAAATCCCTATATTACGAAACGGGCTTTATATTTTATTATATTATTTTAACTATCCTTCTTAATAGTATAGACCTAGCGGCCTCCTATAGCCTCCCTATCCCTAGGGAGGTAGGAAAATTCCTAAGTTTTATATTTAATTAGCTAGATAATTTCCTTAATTATAGTATCTTTCTAAAATGCTATTTTAGGGCTATTTATTGCCTGTTTATAGGTCTTTAGAATTTTTAGATCCTAATTTTCTATACTAGCTAGAATTAACTCTATAAAATCGCAGTTTAGAAATAAATTAACGTTAGGGTATTCGATATAGTTAGAATCGAACCCTTCCGGCTTCTTAGGTAATTCTACTACTATTTTACTAGTAGTAGGAATAGGATCGTTATTTAGAGACTCTTCTTCTATAGAGGGCGAGGGACTTTTATCTCTAGTTTCTCTAGTAGCTTCCTCTATAGGGATATAGCTTTCTAGCTTATCTTTATTCGGAATAAAATTAAAATCAAAGGTATTATTACTACTAGAGATTTCTAGATTTTTTATAAATTTATTTTCTAGTATAGTAATATATCTAGAGATAGTAATCTTTCTCTTAGAAAAATCCTAGATTTTATATGCATTTTCTAAATAGCCTACTATTATTCTATTAAAAGCTCTATTATCTAGCTTATCTTTAAGGTCTTTATTCTTATAATATATAAGGCTTCCGAAGGTCTTAATTTTATTTAAGGTCTCGAAGGGTAGTATTATATTATCCCTCTTTTCTATAGGACTTTTAAATCCTATCGTAGAATGCGGTAATCTATTATATAAATAGGTAGCTATTAAAACAGCTTCTCCCTATAGATATTTAGGAAGCCTAGTAGTAAATAAAAGAGCTCGTACTTTTTCTAATATAGTACGATTTATTCTTTCTATTCTACCGTTAGATTCCGGCGTCCTAGGAGGACTAGAATTAAAGGTAATTCCTTCTCTTTCGTAATAGAGTTTTATTTTATATATAAATTCTTTAGCATTATTAGAAAATGCTTCTCTAATCCTAGTATTTTTAGGGTTATTTTCTACCCTATTTTTAAATTCTAGGAACCTATCTAGAGCTTCCCCTTTTTTCGAAGAAGGTATATTTCTAGATATCGGGTTCCTACGTCTAGGAAAGAAATATAATAGTAATATTTATTATAAGTAGGCACTTTAATTAGCCCCTAAATATCTAATACTATTTTTTTTAAATAGGTATAAGACTTATACGAAGGTTGTTTATTAACCTTATTCGTTGCTTTAGCTCTAATATATATTTCGTATTGCCTTATTTTATTTTCCTCTTTT